ATGGAACAAGGAAGAAAAGAAGCCCAGACCAATGATGTGGGTTATCTTTGGAAAAGGAACTGACAAGCCCTTGCCCCTGCTCCTAGCAACAACTGTATGTGGCCTCAGCAGTGGGTGTCACACACCTGAGCCTGCACCGCTGCCAGGCATATGGGGCTGCCTGTGCTGACTGCTGCCTTGCCCGGGACCCTTACTGTGCCTGGGATGGCCAATCCTGCTCCCGCTATACAGCATCCTCCAAGAGGTATGGATCCCCAGACACTAAGAATTTTAGTCCCTGTCCTGGTCATTTGGAGGTAAATGTGCATTACCCTGGGAGGGTGTATGGATAAGACATCACTACACTGGGAACATAGGGCCCTGCCTTGGAGTGTTGGGGATACAGGGACCTGAGGGGGAAAGCTTCCTGGGGACACTCCCTTAAGAGCTATCTTCATCCAGGCGGAGCCGCCGGCAGGATGTCCGGCATGGGAACCCCATCAGGCAGTGCCGTGGGTTCAACTCCAATGGTGAGTGAGTGTGTTGTGCCTCCCACTGGGTGCTCCTCATGGTGCACAGCCCCATGCAGCCCATGAAACTGCATACAGGGTCCCCACCGTAAGGACGCAAGTTGGTTAGTGGTGGGTGAGGGTACTGGGGGTTTTTGATTAGGATGTCCCTGGTCACCCCCTCAAGGAGTGGATGCCCAGTGGTGCCTTTCTGCCTTTGAGGGTAGGTGCCCTGGGTGCCAGCCCCTCCCTAGTCAACACTCTGCCTAGGGCAAGGTTGCTTCCACTCAGTGCCTACTTGATCCACAGCCAACAAGAATGCTGTGGAGTCTGTGCAGTATGGTGTGGCAGGCAGCACGGCCTTCCTTGAATGCCAGCCTCGCTCACCCCAAGCCACTGTTAAGTGGCTGTTCCAGCGAGATCCTGGTGACCGGCGCCGAGAGGTGAGTTCCTGTGCTCACAGTGCTGCACCATGGATGTGGGAGTCCCTTGTACAGTGGAAATTCCACATGGGTGAAATGTAGTGTAGGAGCCAATCTGGAGATGTCCTCATGCTATGAAACCCCTTCTGAGCTTCTTTCCCTATATGGAAATAATTTGAGTGCAACTAGTTATGTAGAAACTCTGCAGGATAGGTGTCATTATAGAGCAACCATTTATAGGCATGCCTCTTCATAAAAATTCCATATGCATACCCCATTGGAGTATGCCTCCATGTATGGAACATCATGTGGGTGAGCTCTAGTATATGGTTCTATGGTAGCCCTCATTTTGTGGAAAATTCTTACAGGTGTCCCTCTTTACATGAACATTCTATGTGGGTGCCACATTCGGGTATTCTCATTAAATGAAAATTCTGTGTGTGTGCTCCAAAATTCTCTCGTTCATTGTACAGAACCCTCATAGGGTCATCCCTCCTGAAATGGAAATATGTGCCGATACCTTATTCAGATATTTCTCATTTATGTGGAGACTTCATGTAGGTTTTTTTTGGTATATGGAAATTCCACGTGGGTACCCCTACGTGAAATGGCTACAAAGGTGGTCTCATCTGGAAGCTGGCTAGGGCAGCAAAGTGGTCATCCAGCCGCTGAGCCCCGCCCCTGCCCCTGCAGATCCGTGCAGAGGACCGCTTCCTGCGTACAGAGCAGGGCTTGTTGCTTCGCGCCCTGCAGCTTGGTGATCGTGGCCTCTACTCCTGCACGGCCACTGAGAACAACTTCAAGCACATCGTCACGCGGGTGCAGCTGCATGTACTGGGCCGGGATGCCGTCCATGCTGCCCTCTTCCCCCCACTGCCTGTGAGCGCCCCACCACCCCCTGGCACAGGCCCCCCCACGCCTCCTTACCAGGAGCTGGCCCAGCTGCTGGCCCAGCCAGAAGTGGGCCTCATCCACCAGTACTGCCAGGGTTACTGGCGTCATGTGCCCCCAAGCCCCAGGGAGGCTCCAGAGGTACCCAGGCCTCCTGAGCCCCAGGACCAGAAAAAGCCCCGGAATCGCCGGCACCACCCTCCGGACACATGAGGCCAGCTGCCTGAGCCCTGTGTGGGGCCAGCCTAGCCCTCATTCCTTTTAATATAAAAGATATATATATATATATAAAAAAAATATCTATATTCTATACACACCCTGCCCCCTGCAAAGACAGTATTTATTGGTGGGTTGTACATAGCCTGCCTCAGCAGCAGCTTCATCCAGAACTTAGACCCATGCTGGTCAGAAATGGCAGAAAACCGAGCCCACCTAATCAGGCCCCGTGAGTTGGCAGGGCCAGGCCAGGACCACACAGTCCCCAGACTCATCTGGAAGTCTGCTTGTTTGAAGGCCGCCAAGATCTACAGAACACAGGAAAGGAACAAGCCCTACTTGAAGGGCCATGGACCATACATCTTTGCCAATGTGTGCTGTCAATTGTGCTGTGGTGTAGGCACGAATGCTAGGACTGCTTTGGAGTCTGGGTGTGGGGGCTCAGGGCACTCAGAAGGGAAGAAGGGGTCATCACAGGATGCTGGCCCCTGCCTGGTTGGGGGCACTTAGTCGAGGCCAGCCCTTCCCAGGTATTTATTCTCTATTTATTGGGGGCAGGAGGAGTCCTACCTGGGTGGGGCAGGATCTTCAGCTCCTTCTCCCCTCCCTGCCTGGACAGCAGTGCTGCCCCATTCTACCTCCTTAGCTTTTCCTATGCTACCTTGACTTGGAGGCTGGGAAAACAGCAATGGGGCCAAGTACAGGCAGGGCTGAAGGGAGTCCCAAGTCGTGAGGGGAGAGGGGCCATTGTGGAGGCCTGGGGCTTGTAGGGGCTCCCCAGGGCCCCCTTCTGCCCACCACTTCAGGCAGTGGGTGTAAATAGCTCTGGGGGCAGTTGGGTAGGTGGGTGGGGGCTCCTGGCAGCCCTCTGCTGCCCAGATCACAGTCACCCTTGGGTTCCATCTTGTTAATAAACACTGGCTCTGGGACTAGACTTTGGCTTCTCTCCTTGGTGGTGGTTGTGGTGGGAGGGGTTAGGGCCACACCTGGTGGGTAAGGGGAGACAAGTGGGGAGCTGGGAGATAGCAGGTTGGCCCCACTTTTAAAAGCCCAGTTTTTTTGAAACCAGGTCTAGTTTAAGCAGCCTGAGTTCCAGTACTACTCTAGTCCCTAGGCAGTGTGAAGGGTCTCAGAGACTTTTGGGGCCACTTACAGTGTGGAAATAGGGGGTGGAGCCCAAAGGCAGAAACTGGCACAAATGAAATAGTCTTGCTTCTAAATAGATCCCATCCAACAGGGATAATGCTTATGGCAAGAGCCAGTGTCCACTTCCTATGCATCCTGTTTAGAGAAGAACTCAGAGCTCAGTGTCTGGTACCCTGGCACCCCCTTGTGGTCTTTTGAGTCAGTGGCAGGGTTAAATACTAAATGGCAAACAGGTTTCAGGAAAGGAGTCCAGCCAGGAGGCTCTGGGCCCATGTGGATAGCCTTAAGAGCTGATTTGGGTTGTCTGATGGGGTTGGGGGTGGGAAATCTCCAGAGCCTGGGAACTCAGTCTGCAACTCAACCTGAACTACTTCACCAACAACGTGGTGCAGCTGAACAGAGCTTCAGGCCCTGCAACCAGGCAGGTAGGCTCTAAAAGCAACCCTAGGCAGGTCCTAGAGCCAGAACAGGAGCAGGTATTATGGAGAGCCCCACTTCTCCATGATTTCAGGAGTACCAAACCTGCTCTGGGGCTTGGTTTCCCCCATCTGACAACTGACTGGAAAAGATTCACTTGAAAAACCTTGCCACCTCTGCAGATCAGAGACTGTTGCACCAAAATACATACGTATATATAGGTACAGGAAATTATATATGCACACATACAACCACACACAAATGCTCAGGTATACAACTGTGCTCACACATGCACACAGGCAGATAAACTCTAACATGCTTTGCACAGGAATATGCATTTGCACATTCAAGCGCACAAGTGAACTCACACAAGCACATGTGCCTGTGAAGGGAAATGCATAGGGGGCTGGAAATGTTGCTCAATAGTAGAGTATGTGTGAGGCCCTGGTGATCCCCAGCAGTGAAAACACACAATAGCACGCACGTGTATATTTGTGTGTACATGTAAAACTGCACACAAAGTTACATGAATACTCACATGCACTAAAAAGCATAAGCACACATGTATACAGTGGTATACAAGCACAAACCTGTCAAGCCATTACCTTGCTCGGTGCCAATAAAGAACAGAAACTTACATTCAGGCACATGTAGCTGATGTGCATGCCTACCATGCCTACCAGGGTCCATCAGAAGCATGTAGAGGCCCTGCTCAGGGTCAGATCTAGCCTTCAGTATGGGGTAATTGCAGAGTAAGCCTTTTGCCCCATGATTCCCAGCAAGGCATAGAACCCTGGTCTGGAGTTAACTCTCTCTTCTCATCCACTGCCTCAGTGTACTCCTGTGAGCCTCTACTTATTCATCAGTAAAATAGAGCTCATGATAAGGACAGCCATCTCCTAGGACCAATATGAGCTTACAAAATAAGGAGCAAGCAGTGCTGAGTCCAGTGCTGGGCAAGTGGCAGGTGCTCCATGCCTATTTCTCCCTCCATTTCCTCTTCCTGTCATCCCCCAGGGCTCCAGGTCCTGTCCTCCCCTTTCTTTAATTTTTTTTTAATGTGCTGAGGTTCGAACCCAGGGCTCACATGTGCTAAACGAGTGCTTTACCGTTGAGCCCACAACCTCAGCCCCCTTTCTTAGTCTTACCATACCAAATATGTCTTACTGTAGTGGGACAGGGGAAGTACTGTTCAAGCCCTATCCTAGAGGGATGGAGGGAGGGAGCAGAAGGGATGCAGAGTCAGCGGTTGAGGGATTGGGGACATGCCAGCCTGATTAGAAGGGTTGGGGGACTGAGCTGGCTTCACCTGTCCTTGTCTCTGATTGGGCCTTGGGCATCCTAACTCTCAAATCCCACTAAGCAGCCCCCACCAGGGCAATCTCCAGAGACCTATTAAGGTCTCTGGAGAGTCAGTTGGTTGCCAGTCTTGGGGCCAGAAGAGAGTCTCTGGAGGCCAGAGGCTGGCCTGAACCAAGTTCTTGGGATACCCTCCATTCAGAAGAGCCACCTGCTCACCTTGTCCCTTCACCTGCTGCTGGGGTCATGGGGGCTGGGGCCAGCGCAGAAGAGAAGCACTCCAAGGAGCTGGAAAAGAAGCTGAAAGAGGATGCTGAGAAGGATGCTCGAACTGTGAAACTGCTGCTTCTGGGTAGGGGTGTGGGCCTTGGTGGGGAAGGGCAGCTGCAGTGAGTCAGGGACCTGGAGTCAAGTGGGCAGCCCTTCTATGAGGCAGGGGTTCCTTGGGGGGAAAAATAAGCCTTTGATGAGGCAGAACACAGTGTAGGAGCCCTGGCCAAGCAAGGCAAGGCCTGACAGTGATGTTGCAGTCCCCCCTAGGCTGGGCATCCCATGGCAATCTCCAGAGAACAGTCATCCCACTGCAGAAGTTTGTGCCAAACATACCTTTGTACAAGTGTGTAGAAGGGATACTTTCAGCTTAACAGGCCAGCTGGGCAGGACTTAGAAACCAAAGGCCTCACTAGGAGCCCCACATAGAGCCACTCCCTTGGGAAGAAATCATCCTGAGAACAGGGATACTCTAGGACCACCCAGATCCCAGATCCCCAAACAATGACTCTCGGATGCCAGAACTTTACTGTTGGCAGACCTGTAAAGCAGCTAAAGTTGGAAAAGTACTGTGGGGAATAGATAAACCTGAGTTTATGGTCCCATGGGTAGTGGAGGGAGATGGGGCTGATCTAATCCTGTCTCAAAGCCACTGCTTAACCCCCCAAGGGGAAGGAGCTGTTTTAAGAGGGTGAGGCAGTCTTCCAAGCCTTCCAAGATCCATCCAATCAGCTGGAGGTGGACAGAGGGACTGAACCAGGGCCCCCAGAGGAACGGCAGAGAAGCTAAGCCAAAATCCCATTAACTGTGCCCTGTGCTCCCAAGAGAGCCAGCTCAAAAGGGATGTCATCTCAGTCCTCTCTGCCTCCAAAGGCTCTAATTCCCTCTGAGCCTCTAAAAGACAACCTGCCTTATGGTGAAAGGCAAAGGTTGAAGCTCAAATAATTCTGTGCATGCAGTACCAGAGATTCCCACAAAGTGGAGCTCCAGGATTTCTTTATTTTGGTCTCACAGCATAATAAAGAACGCTTTATACCAGGGTCCTGGAGATTCCCTGGACAGTTAAGTTTTCTGATTTTGTTTATTGGCTCCCTTTTGTCATTGTGCTGACATTTACAAACGTTTTCCGACAGTGCTTAAATGCTTACTGCGGGTGGGGTGAGGGCAGGTATGACTAGGGATCTAGCTGGAGTGCTGGACCCTTGGATGCGGGTCCAAAGGGATGGCTAACTCCTCTTGTGGCCTCCCTCAGGGAAATGGAGGGGATCCATGCGGCTCTAAAGCGCAGCTTCCCTTTCAGGTGCGGGTGAGTCCGGGAAAAGCACCATTGTCAAGCAGATGAAGTGAGTGCCCCTGCCCTTCCGAAACCCCTGGGGGTGGGTACAAGCACACTGGGACCTATTTTTCACTACTGCCTCACAAGACGCTGACTCTGCTCGCCTTGGCCACAGGATTATCCATCAAGACGGGTACTCGCTGGAAGAGTGCCTTGAGTTCATTGCCATCATCTATGGCAACACTCTGCAATCCATCTTGGCCATCGTGCGGGCTATGACCACGCTCAACATTCAGTATGGAGACCCAGCGCGCCAGGTGCGCCACGAGAAGGGCTGATGGGGCCCCCGGGAACTGGAGGCGCCCAAAAGGGCTCCAATTCGCCGTCCTCAACTACCAATCCCACCTTGTCCCCCAGGACGATGCCCGGAAACTGATGCACATGGCAGACACGATTGAGGAGGGTACGATGCCGAAAGAGATGTCGGACATCATTCAGCGGCTGTGGAAGGACTCGGGTATCCAGGCTTGTTATGAACGCGCCTCGGAGTACCAGCTGAACGATTCTGCGGGCTAGTGAGCTTTCGCAGGCAGGGCGGGAGGGTGCGGGCGGGACTCTTCTGAGCCCCTCTAGGTCACCCACCCACCCACACCCGGTGTTTCCCACAGCTACCTCTCAGACCTGGAGCGCTTGGTGGCTCCGGGCTATGTGCCTACTGAGCAGGACGTGTTGCGTTCTCGGGTCAAGACCACAGGTATCATCGAGACGCAATTCTCCTTCAAGGATCTCAACTTCCGGTAAGATCTGATGCTCTTGGCTCAGGACTGCCCTGAGTTCCCCGGAGTTCACAGCCCCTAGACTCGCTCCCTGCCCCTTCTCAGATGCCCTGCCAGAGGAAAGGTCCGGCGCCCCTAGATGCCAGTCCCATCTGAGAGCTCCCCAGCCAGCTCCAGGGAGGAAAGAGAACCCCAGGGAGGCGCTGGAGGCGCAGTTTCAGGTCCCCTATGCCTCACAGGATGTTTGATGTGGGTGGGCAGCGCTCGGAGCGCAAGAAGTGGATCCACTGCTTTGAGGGAGTGACCTGCATCATCTTCATCGCGGCGCTGAGCGCCTACGACATGGTGCTGGTGGAGGATGATGAAGTGGTGAGTGCCGAGCTAGTCCTGAATGTTTGAAGAAGAAAGCGGAACTGGGGAGCATCTGAGAGCAGAGAGTTGTTCCAGGGCGGTCTGGAGGAGGCAAGCAGGCAGCCCGCAGCCCTGCTGGAGGGGGAAATTCGGAGGCTCTCTGCGAACTATGGGAGCCGGAAAACCCTGGGCGGGTCTGTTGGGCGCCGCCCATGTGAGGGCGACTGCTGGTGTCTTCTGGTGCCCGACAGCCGATGCTCTCCTCAGAACCGTATGCACGAGAGCCTGCACCTGTTCAACAGCATCTGCAACCACCGCTACTTCGCCACCACATCCATCGTGCTCTTCCTCAACAAGAAAGACGTTTTCACCGAGAAGATAAAAAAGGCACCCCTAAACATCTGCTTCCCGGATTACGACGGTGAGAGTCCCCAGCCCTGCCACCAGGCGGCGACCCATTCCCATGATCTGGGCCACGCTCCTCCCACCAGGAAGGGCTAAGGCCGGCTGTGAGCGCTCCCCTCTGCTACAGGGCCTAATACATACGAGGATGCCGGCAACTACATCAAGGTGCAGTTCCTGGAGCTCAACATGCGACGAGACGTAAAGGAGATCTATTCCCACATGACGTGCGCCACTGACACACAGAACGTCAAATTTGTCTTTGATGCTGTTACCGATATTATCATCAAGGAGAATCTCAAAGACTGCGGCCTTTTCTGAGGTGGGGTCCTCGCTGCTGGACGCTGTTCTCTCTCCCCTGTTTGTCTTCTGGGTTAGACTCCTCCCTGCTCCCTGGAGTCCCGCTCCAATGTCCCCACCGCACAGCTTTCAGGGCCCACTCCGTCCACTTACCCTATAGGCCCCACCTATTTAATATATCGACCCCGCCCCATCTTCACAGGCGTCATATCTTTCAGGGCAGCCCCCAACAAAATGCCTAAATCTATGTGAATCTCAGGGATGCTGACCCAGTTGACTCAGTTTCCTTCTGTCTTCGCTGATGTCTGAACTGATGAATGTCCCTTGTCCTGTGGCCCTGCAGCCCTAGCTGCCTAGTAGCCACATCCCTGTCCCCCATCAGGTCTCTAGGACTCTTGGACCACAGTCTGCTGCCCCACTAGCCACAAACCCAAAACCCTGAACCCTGAGCCTTGAGTCATAGACCTTCCCCCACTCCCGCAACCCCAGCCCTGCTATTCACCGCCTGGCTGCTCTGGCCTCTTGGACCCACAGCAGCCAGCCACAGCTAGGACATGGCAGTACTTGGGGGCAGTTAGAGCTTACAGTGACTCAGCACTGCCCAACTGACCAATCTCTTGCAGCTGTCCTGCCCTTGGGGACCCACAACTCACCTGGTGGGTCTGGGTTCACCAAACAGCCCTCCCTCCCACAGTTTCATGAAGGTACTCTTGAGATACCCCTCCCCCAAGTAGGCCTGCTGTTACCAGCAGCCGGGCCACCTCGATGCGGCAAGTCTGACACCTGTCTACTCAGTGACCAGTGACTGTCCCTCAGCAGTTTCAGGAATCCAAAGTCCAAGCTGGTCTGTCCAAGCTGAGAGGCTTCTACATAGATAAATTAGTGACTGGAGGTGGAGCTGGGAGTCCCTGGTGCTAGAAAGAGACATAAATTGGACCCTTCCCAAAATACCAGACTCAGAGTACCCCGAGCTCACATCCTTCAGATCTGCCTTTTCTGTCCCTGGATACCAGATCCGGACCATACCCCACTTCACCCACCCACATATACACAGTACTCCAGGCTGGTCAGCCAGGGGGATGGTGTGTTGAGGGAGCAAACTATTGACCACAGCCTTGACCAATAGTCAAGCTGTCTTAGGGGGTGGCTGGAGGCAGAGTCCAACTCCCATTGATCAGCCCCAGGCAGAAAATTCAGGATAGGATGGAGGGGTGGGCTGTGCCCAGAGGAGCCTACCTCATGTGGGATTACAGGAAACCCAGGTAACCCTTTTGTCCCTGCTTCTCTCGCCCTCTCCTTCCAGAGCCCATTCTTTGGTAGGGAAAACTGAGAGCCATGCCTGAACCATCAGGGATAAAAATCACATCCCCAACATCCTGCTTCTTCCTTCCTCATCGAGCAGCAAATCTTTGCTTATGCCCATGAGGCAGGGCTGTGCTATAGCTGGGGATAAGGAGCTTTTATCTGGCAAAGCCAGAACATAAACTGCACTTCCCTTAGCTAGATGCACAGCAGACTCAGCAATAAACCTTTGCATCAGGCCCCAGTTGTTCTTTCTTGGGGGAGTGCGGGTGTGGAGAGCTTAATTATCATGAGTTGTTGATATTTATTAAGTACCCAATGATGGGCTGGACATGAAATGGGAAGATGACTCCTTCCAGGAAGAAGAGCCTGGCCTGATGTTGGGGACTCTCTTGGTAGTATGGGACCAATTTGTGCCTCTTGAGGGGTGAAGCTATCGGAAATGTTCACTGGGAGAATCTAGAATCAAAAGTGAGTTTTGATCTGGGCGTGGTGGCACACACCTGCAATGGCTCAGGATGTGGCTCAGGATGCTGAGGCAGGAGGATTGCGAGTTCAAAGCCAGCCTCAGCAATGGTGAGGCACTAAGCAACTCAGTGAGTTGCTAAACAAAATACAAAATAGGGCTGGGGATGTGGCTCAGTGTTCTAGTGCTCCTGAGTTCAACCCCCAGTCTCCCCTGTCAAAGAGTGAGTTTTGAGGTAGAGCCTCTTTTGATTGGATAAGGCTGGGGAACGTGGGAGCTCAGTGGAGCAGGAGTAGGGAAATGGGGAGATGGGGTGGGAGAGACAGTGAACTGGTGACAAACACCAGGCCAAGGGCCTATGCTTTCTCTAGAAGGTGATGGAAAATCATGAAAGTTCTTGAAGCTGGGACATAATTATGGCTGGGATTAGGGTAAGGCTAGTAAGGACCTTATGTCTGTTACAGAATGTAAGGGGATGGCCAAAAAAATCAGTAACCAAGATAAATAATATATTAATGCAATAATTTAAAAACTCAGAATTAATGCAAAAAATCCACAATGAACCAAATATCAAAATGCAACAGGGGCATACCAAAACATAAGAACCCAAAAGATAAGGGGAAAATATCTACTATTGTATGTGTTTTTATGAGGTTTTATCCTTTTTAAATTTTTTTTTTCAATCAAGAGATTTTATTGGGGGGCTGCCTAAAGGGGAAGAAAAGGAGAGGCAGAGAGAAAGAGAAAAAGCAGAGAGAGGAGAGAGAGAGAGGAGAGAAAGAAGAGGAAGAGGGCAGAGAGAAGAGGGCAGAGAAGGAAGAGGAAGAGGGCAGAGGGGTTTTATTCATTTTCTGTGGTGAAATTCCCATATCATGGAATTTACCATCTTTGCCATTTTGAAGTGTACATTTCAATGATATCAAATACATTCATAATGTTGTGCAACTATCACCACCATCTATCTCCAGAACTCTTTCCATCTTGTAAAAGGAAAATTCTATATTTATTAAACAGTAACTCCCAATTCTTCCCTTCTCCCAGCCCCTGACAACTTTTGTCTATGATTTTGACTACTCTAAGTACCTGTAAGTAGAATCATACAGTATTTCTTTTTGTGACTGGCTTATTTCACTTAGTATAATGTTCTTAAGGCTCATCCATGTCATAATATTCTTAATCATTTCTTCCTCCCCCCACCATCTTCCTCCTCCTCTTCCTCTTCTTTCTTCTTCTTCTTCTCTGATACTTGGGATTGAACCCAGGGGTGCTTTACCACTGAGTTACATGCTACACCCCCAGTATTTTCTATTTTATTTTTAAATTTTGAGACAGGGTCTCATTAAGTTCCTGAAGCTGGCCTCAAACTTGCAATCCTCCTGCCTTGGTCTCCTGAATCACTGGGATTGCAGTTATATGCTACTGCACCGAGCCAGAATTTCCTTTTAAAGGCTGAATAATATTCCATTGTAAACATTTGTTTATCTATTCTTCAGTCAATGGATCCTTGAGTTGCTTCCATGTTTTAGCTGTTGTGAATAAAGCTGCTATGAACATGGGTGTACAACTATGTCATTGATATTCTGTTTCCAGTTCTCCTGGGTACATACCCAGACGTTGAATGGCTGAATCATATGATAATTCTTTTTAATTTTTTGCAGAATCATCTTCTACAGTGGCTATACCATTTTACATTTGTACTACTAATAGTGCATTCTTGCCAACACTTGTTATTTTCTGTTTTGTTTTATTTTTGTGCTGTTTTAAGAATAGAGCCCATAGCCTCATGAATGGTAGGCAAACACTCTACCATTGAGCTACATCCCCAGACCATTTTATTTTATTTTTTTGTTTTGAGACAGGGTTTCAGTAAGTTGCCCAAGCTGGCCTCAAACTTGAGATCTTCCTGCCTCATCCTCCTTATTAGCTAGAATTATTGGTCTGTGCCACACCTGGCTTCTTTCTACTTTTTGATAGCAGCCATCCTAATGGATTTTCAATGATATCTCATTGTGGGCCTTTTGTTTGTGTTTGTGTGTGTGTGCGCGCGCGCGTGCGCTGGGGGTAGAATCCAGGGCCACTGCGCTACACCCACAGTCCCTCATTGTAGCTTTGATTTACATTTCCCTACTGTTTACATGTTGAACATACTCATATACTTACTGGCCATTTGCACATCTTCAGAAAAAATGTCTTTGAAATCCTTTGTTCATTTTTTAACTTAATTGGTTGGGGCTTTTTTCTTTTCTTTTTTTTTTTTTTTCTTTTTCTTTCTTTCTTTTTTTTTTTGTAATGGGGATTAACCCAGGGACACTATATCACTAAGCCACATCCCCAGCCCTTTTGTATTTTTTATTTTGAGACTCGGTCTTGCTAAATTGCTCAGGGCCTTGCTAAGTTGCTGAGACTGACCTCAAACTTGTGATCCTCCTGAGTTGCTGGGATTACAGTGTGCACCACCATACCCACCTTTGTTTGAAGTTTTTGTTACTGAGTTTTAGAAATTCTCTATACATTCTGGAAAATAATCCCCATCAGAAACATTATTGGCAAATGTTTTCTCCCGTCCTTTGGGTTTATGTCTTTTTTACTCTTTAATGTTTTTCTTTTTTTTAATGTTTTGTTTAGGTGAGCACTCTACTACTGAGCCACAACCCCAGTCCCTCTTAAATCTTTTTTGTTGTTGGTGGTGATGGTATTGGGGATTGAACCCAGAGGCACTTCTGAGCTGCATCCCCAGCCCTTGTCCAGCCCTTTTTAAAAAAAGTTTATTTATTTTATTTGTTTTGTTTTGTTTTATGTAATGTTGAGGATCAAATCCAATGCCTCATACATGCCAGGAAAACACTCTACCACTGAGCCACAGCCCCTGCCCAGCCCCTTTTATTTTTTATTTTGAGACAGGGTCTCACTAGGCTGTTAAGGGCCTTGCTAAATTGCTGAGGCTTCCCTTGAATTTTTGATCCTCCTGCCTTGGCCTCCTGAATTGCTGAGATTACAAGCATGCTCCATTATGCCCACCCATCCTCTTTTATGTATTTTTAATAGTTACACTTTCCCCCAGAACATTAAAATAGTTAAAAATTTGAAAGTAGAGGCTGGGGTTGTGGCTCAGCAGTAGAGTGCTCACCTAGCACGTGCGAGGCCCTGAGTTCAATCCTCAGCACCACATATAAATTAATTAATTAATTAATTAAAGGTATTAAAAAAATTTGAAAGTAGGTATATTAAAACTCACTTCTTTTTCCAGTGCTGGGGATTGAACTCAGAGTCTCACATTGCTAATAAGCAAGCACTGTACCACTGAATTATATCCCCAGCCCAAATTTATGTTATTTTAAGCTTAAATAGCTTATTTCTACCTAAACAAGAATTATTGTAATTTTATTTTCCTGGGTTTAATGGAGACAAAAATCATCAATAATATTTTTGAAATTTGTTATGTGAAAAAAAATAATCACTAAAATTTTTCAAGCCAGGCATGGTGGTACTGTAATCATAGCTACTTAGGAGGCTAAGGTAGGAGGATTGCAAATTTTAGGCCACCTTGGGTAATTTAGTGAGAACTTGTCCTTAAATAAAACAATAAGGCTGGATGTTGTGGTGTAAACCTGCAATCCCAGCAACTCACGAGGCTGAGGCAGGAAGATCACAGTTCAAAGCCAGCCTCAGCAATTTAGCAACACCCTAAGCAATTTAGTGACACCTTGTTTCAAAAAAATAAAAGGGGTTGGGGAGGGCTGGGGCAGTAGCTCAGTGGCAAAGTACCTGCCTTGCATGCATGAGGCACTGGGTTTGATCCTTATCACCACAAAAAAAAAAAAAAAAAAAAAAATGAAACAAATAAAGGCATTCTGTTCACCTAAAACTACAAAAAAAAAAATTTTTAAAAAAGGGTTGGGGATATTGCTCAGAGGTTAAAGCCCACTTAGGTGCAATCTCAAATAAATAAATAAAACAATAGAGGGGCTGAGAATGTAGCTCCATTGTAGATCACTTGCTTAGCATGCGCATGTGTGAGGCCCTGGGTTCAATCCCCAATACCAAAAATGTTTTTTTCATAAAGCATTTCGTAAGGAGCACACATTTTCCTGCGGGGACCTCTATGGGCATGGAAAAGGAGAGGAGTAGTCTGGAAGACCCATGAATCAGAGGCTTATGGGTGTGCACTCAATACACAACAGAGCCAGTGACCTGCAAAACAAGGGACTCAGCCACAGGATTCTGGGTCTACAGGTTGACCAAGCACATGTGATGCTGGACCAAGCACATGTGATGCTGCACCAAGCACATGTGATGCTGCATCAAGCCCAGACCACAGGGAAGTATTGAATGAGCTGTTAGCAGGACCTTTGGTCACTTGGGGCAGATATCCAGGTGACAGATAGATAGATACTTGGGGCTGAGCAGAAGGCAGATTGTAGATGGCATCCTCAATGTCCAGGTGGATGGTGGAACTGTGAACTTGCAGGGGGCTGGAGAGGGGAGAAGGGAGGGTAAGGGTACACAGACCTGAGCAGGGGAAGAAAATTAAATAGCTCAGGGAGCCAAGTACACATGTGGGAGCTATACTGGTGGTGTTCACAAGCCTGAGTGAAGGAGTTTGGGGCTTTCAGGCCAGTGGTACAGAATCCCTGCTGGGTGGTCTTTGGGTCTGCTGAGCTGGAGCTATTCATCTCTACTAAGGACCTTCTCCCCAAGAAGTTTATTAGAATGAGGTGGTGCAGGGGGTAATGACAGGGATTTAATGGGCAGAGGCAAAGGAGAGGATAGGAGGCCTTGAGTAGCTAGCTGGAAGTGTTAGGCTTCAGAAGGAGGAAGGTAGACTAAGAAGGAGAGGTGGATTAATGGGGTCTTCCTCATGGCTGCCTTGTCTTAGAATGGTAATGAAGTCCTCATCCTTCCTGGGCAAAGAACACAGAGAGCCAGAACACCATGTAGGGACTGGACCCTGCCCTCCACAGATGGTTCTGACTTTAGAGTCTGGGATTAAAGATTGGTATGCCTGGATCATGAGGGCTGGAGACACTGCCCGGCCTCAAGCTACCTCATCTATGACCAGCAAATGGGGTGTGGGGGAGCTTTGTCTCCAGCCACTCACCTCACTCCTTAGCCCCACTTACCAGTGTAATTACATCCGAAGGAACAGGATCAGTGGCCTGATGACCGATTCACAGTCCAGGGTAGTGAATCAGAGACAGCTGGCCTAGAATCAGGACCACGGCCTCACCTGTCATGTAGGTGGGGGACATTTACTGTGGGCACCACCAGCCACCACCATCTCTCTTGACTTACAATCTCAAGGTGTCCCTGAGGGACTCTGTGGTCTTTAGCTCTGGCTCTGACAGGACTAACCTAGCCTAGTCACTGACCAGAGATTAGACAAGCCTGGTGGACGGTTAATGCTGCTGACGTCAGGGCCTGGCCAGATGACCACTGGGGGTTTGGGCCCTCCCCATGGGCAGCAGCACAGCCCATGTGACCTGGGATCATTAAGCCGCTTCAGTGGCCAGAGAAGCTGGGGGCCAGATCTCAGGGGAAAGAGGGCGGGCATGCCAGAGCTGCAGGGGCAGGCCTTGGACAAGAGGCACCAGCCCTGGCCCCCAGACTGGGGAAGGCTAAATAGCAGGGTTTCCTCTGGGTCCCCTCCACAATTCCACACTTTGTGTGTAAGATTAAACTCTCCTTTGCCTCTGCCCACTAAATCCCTGTCATTACCCCCTGCACTACTTCATTCTAATAAACTTCTTGGAGAGAAGGTCCTTCATGCTCAAAGAGCAGCCTCCAAGGTACCAAACTAAGAATGTGGTCAGGTGCATGGACCTGAGTTCTTGACCTTGGTGAATAGAGTGAGAACCATCCTTTTCTATGAGGCCTTTGAATCTCTAAGAACTCCAGAGCAAGTGTCCTGTCCCTGCACACAGCTCTCCACTTAACAAGTGCTGATTTCACATGCATTCTGGTTTCTTCCACCTGTGGGTCCTTTCTCTTCCCAACTCTGGCATGTGCCTTCCTTCTCCTTGGCAGAGCCAAGCCAGAGTTTGGCTTGGCTATTGAATTTTCCTTGATTCATGCCCTCCATTCTGAAAGGCGCTTTCCATTTAGACCACAGAGAGCACTTGGAGATGTGGAGGCTGGAACTGAGTGAGATAGTAGGGCCACCACAGTGAATCCTGGGATAGCTGGCTCTTCTGGTGACTTAAGCAGGGTTCTCAGAGATGATCTTCTATTTTTGTGCTAAAGGACAAGTAGAAGTTTGCCAAGGAGGTGGGACCTCGTGCCTTAGGAAGCACGAGGGCAGAAGCACAGCAGCATGAAGACTAGAATATTCTGGGAAGAGCAGGATCATGTGTGGCCAGCTGGGCCAAGGCATAGGGTGGAGGTGGGGACACTGGGAGCAGGTGGGGGGATATCAGGTAGGCCAATTGAAGGTGAGGGAAGGAGCCTGCAGGGTGCCTAAGTAGCCAGTGGATCCAGATGCTGGGTTCTGAGAAGGACTGGGTTAGAGGTGAAGATGGGACATCACTGTTGGGAGAGGGTCTTGGCACATCAAGTAGATGTGGGCCAGTGGATATGGTGGTGTCATGAGAAGAGCCTGTCTTGCTGGAGGCTGAGTGTTCATGACTGGAAAGGGTGGGGTGAGTGAGAGGTTTCTGAAATAGTGAAAGAAGGATCTGGCAATCCTGGGGACCCTAAATTCTGCTCCATATGTCTGGTAGTTTCCTGGACCTGTGTTTGAGGTGCAGAGATGGAAGAGTAGAAGCAGCAGCTGGGCTGATGCAGGATATAAAACCTCCCTTACTCCCAAGCTGCTGCTCCCTACACAGCAGTTGCATGGATAGACATTCCCTCTGGTCTCTGGGAGAAGGTGCCTGGCAGCTCACATAGCTCCATCTCTGCTGCCCAGCTGTCCAGCCACTGCAGGCTGGGCTGGGAGATTCGGCAGGTGGTGGGAAAGGCCTCAGTGCTGTGTTTGCCCTGGCGGGGGCCCAGGCCTAACAACAACAAACAGTCAGCTCCTCCCCCAGCCTGGCCACAACTAGTCTGGCCCAGGGACCCCACATCATACCCTCCTCTGGGACTTCCACAGCAGCTCAGTCCAGCCAGACCTGCTCCCTCCAGTATAAATTGAGGACCTCTACACTCACATGCTGGATGACCTTGAACCAGGTCTGGCTCATCAGAACTGCCAGTGGAGCTGGATTTGCCTGTACATGCCTGTAATTCCAGCTACTAGGGAGACTGAGGCAGGAATATTGCAAGTTTGAGATAAGCCTCAGTAATTTAGGAAGGCCTCCAGCAACTTAGACACTGTCTAAAAATATAGGGCTGGGGGACTGGGGCTATAGCTCAGTGGTAGAGCACTTGCCTAGCACGTTTGAGGCACTGGGTTCTACCCTCAGCACCACATAAAAATAAATAAAGATTTAAAGAATTTTTAAAAAAGGGACAGGAATGTGGATCAGTGGTAGAGCATCCCTGGGTTCAACCCCCAGTACCAAATGCAAATGGAAAAAAAGTAATGAAAAAAGAAATTGCCAATGGGAGCCAGTAGCCCTTTGCAAATGGCTCCTTGAACACCCAGGGTTCTATGTCCTTTGGATAGTGGGAGTCTAATGGCCCCTCATGATCATGGTGAGCTCCATTCTGTCAATTATATTAGCCCCAGATCAGGAGGAAAGCCAAGTCCCTTTTACTGACAAGGCAGGAATTAGGTGACTTGAGGTTTTTGGAGGTTTCCCCATCCCAATACATTTCTCTTTAGCCCTCCTAGACCCCTGACCATAGCATACAGCTTTCCTTTCACCCATACTCCTCAGGTTCAGGGGACAAAGCCTTTTCCTTGTGATACAGAGGGAAACTGAGGTATGCTAAGGCTTGGCTATGAGTCAGCAGGAAGAGAATCCAGAAGTCCTGGATTCTGGGAGTCCTGACTCCCAGGCCATGGCAGGGGAGGGGTGAGGCTTGTCCTCTGAAGGCATTCCCCCCACAACAGGAAGTGGGGCAGACATGACACAGAGAAGTCCAGCGTGGATAGGAACAGCAGAGGCCATGGGATTAATCGGATCAGAGCCAGTGGCTGAGAAGCAAGGGGCACAGCTGTTCTGGAAAACCCCCCTCCAGTTTATCCTGAAAGGTCAATGCCTCCCCCCAGCTCCCTGTTGGCTGGACCTGGAGCTTTACACCTACTAGCCACCTCTAAGCACCAAGGCCCTAGTTGAGAAGCAGGCAGGGGTGGGACAGAATCCTTCAATCAAGAAGGAGGCCACCCTAAAACCTCTGTCCCCAGAGCAGGGCCAGCCTGGAGGGCATGATCTAGAAGGCCCCAGGCAAGACACACAGAGAGGTCACCTTACTCCCTTCCTGTCCTCACTTCCCCTACTCCTGTCTTTCCAGCCTCAATAATACTTTCTTCTAAATATCTGGGGTGAATTGATAATAGGAAGTCCTTCCCATTCCCACCCCATCATTCCATCACTGATTAGGAAGGGTGAGATAGGCAGAAAAGGCATTTTTGTGGCAGTCCCAGCTACTGGAGAGGCTTAAGCAAAAATATGGTGAATTTGAGGCCAGCCTGGGCAACTTTTTGAGATCTTGTCTCAAAACAAAAAATAAAAAAGTTCTCAGTGGTAGAGGGACTGGGCCCAATCCTCAGTACCACCACACACACACACACACACACACACACACACACACAAAAGGTATTTTTCTTGCCTAAGTAATGTCTAAAAGTACTCCATGCAGACAGAGCACCCTTCACTGAAGTTAAGCTTTGCCCTGTTCCCATTCCTCTTGACTAAAGATTCCCTCTGGCTTCAAAGACCTGAGGGCAGAGCATTTCAGGGGTTTAGATCACCAAGAGACCTCTGAGAGAATCTGTTTTGGCCTGAAGCATTTCGCCAATTCTTAAAAACCAAGTAAGCACTCCAAAACCTAGGGACTCCCTTCGCCCCAGCTGCCCCTCTGCTCCAGGCCCGTCCCGCCCCCGTCCCTCTTCGGACAGCCCCTCCTCCTTTGGGCCGCCGGGGATTGGCGGGCCGGGGGCGGACCGGGGGCGGGGCCGAGCGCCCTTCATCCCCAGCCTCTGCTGGCTCTGTTGCAGCCCCGCGCTCAGTCGGAGAGCAGAGCAGACCGAGCCAGCCTGAGCCAAGCGCCGCGCGTGCCCACCCACGAGGCCAGGTACCACTGGGGACGTCGGGATACAGGCTGAGGGCCCCCGGGCGAGCCCTGTCTTACTCGCCTAGCTGGCGTCTGTTGCAAGCTCTGGATAGCACCTTTCGACCTCTGCGACCTAGGCAAGCGCCCTAGCCTCCGGCAAGTCAGAACCCCGCGCGCTCCAGGCACTGGTCTGCGGACCTGCCAGTCGGGACTCACTTCCAGGCTTGAGCCAGGGTTCCGGAAGGGGCGCCTTGTCCACTGGGGTTTTTCGGGAGGGCCAGGCTGGACAGCAGGAGGTCAGCGGCCCCCAGAACTGGGATCATAGGACGCCTTGTTGGGCACTCAGGCAGCACCCGACCAGGTTCCCAGAGGCATGGCCCGCGGGGCGGGCTAGAGAGGTCCCGGAGGACGACTCAAGAGGGCCCCGGAGCAGTCCCTGGAGCGCTGCCCCGACGGGAGCCTAACAGGCAGAGCCACTGGCTGGCACGCCCGGAATCCGAGTATATTTATCCTGGCCTCTTTGGGCAGGGGTTTGAGGGCAGATCGGGCCTGACCGCCTGAAGGGCCGCGGGGTACATGCTGGCCCCAGAGCCAGTGCCATTTGCAGCGGGGCCAGCGGGCACTGCGGGCGCAGGGCTCGCGTGGCTCTTTGGCCTAAGGGCGGGACGCCTAGTGCGCTCCTCCCCACCTGGCGACGATGCCGGGCGGGCGGGATATAAGAGTCTAGCCCTGCGCACACGCGGAGGAAAGGGTCCAAGACGCCGTTTGCATGAGCCCGCCCTGGCTGAATTGTCCCCTTCCATTGGCCACAACGAATGCGTGCTTTTGTTTACACCCAAGGAAGGAGGTCAAGGATGGGACCTGTGGGGTTCTTCCCTCCCTCCACCCCGACCTGAACCCTGAGCCCAGGTGTAGACTCTCCAATGGAGCTGAGGAGGGCTAATTCAATGGCCCTGGAGTCCTGAGCAGCACGGGGAGAACACCCCTTCCCATGCCCATCCTTCCTTCAGCCTGTTAGCTCTGTCCTTCCTTCCATGATTGCCTCCCCTGATACTTTGCTGCCCCTGGAAGAGGCACTTGGTCTGGAATAGGGGCTTAGTGTCTTGTAGAAGGGAGGCCAGACCCTCCCAGTTCTCATTCTGGGTGACATGAAGCTAGAGATCCAAGGACAGTTCCTTTTTGAAAGGGGGAGGTTCATACAGCCATGGAAGCCATCCCTCTGGGAGCTCCTACCGAGGGAGGGATCTGGAGTGGATAGGACCAGGCCTGTCCCATCTCTGAGAGAACTGGAATAACTGAAATCAAGAATGGCATCTGACTTCTTAGGAGTGGCTGTAGGGGATTGTCTCTGGGGGAGGATGGAAGTGTGTTTCAGAACTTCATTGTGCCTGGGCCCATAGAGCCTATGTCCTCATGGGCCTCTCAAGCCATTCTGTTGAGTGCTGGTTCTTGTGGCCCATGTTACAAGCCCACCCCACCCCCAGGTCCAGGGCTCCAAGTGGTCGGATCACAAGAGTTGGTTGCTTTCTGTCCTTATGCCACTGCTCTAGTAAGGCAAATGGGGAAACTAAGGCACAATGAGATTAGGCTGGTGATTCATAATCTCTGGGCCAGGATGGGGAAAGATTTCAAGTTGAATTGAGCACATCTTGGAAGTATTGGCTGAGTGTGAGGTCAGACATTCAGTTTCAGAGGAAAATGAAACATTTGTAAGGGAAGGGGGTTGACTGGCTACCAGGGAGATGCAGTTTTGACGTTTATGTGTGCGAAAAGCTGGGATGGGATTTGCAGTCCATGCTGTGTTGGGATGGCGGCCCTGTGGAAGTATGTTCTTGGTACAGATATGATCAGGGTCAAGCCCCACTTAGAGCAGGTAAGATGGACTGAGGGCTTGCCTAGGGGCTTGAACTCATTCCATTCATCCAACACTTATTAAGCACTTACTGTGTGACTCATGAGCACTCAGTCTTGTGGGTGGAAGAGTACTGAAGAGGTGGACCTTTGACTTTGGATGGGAGGGCAGGGTGGGGCTCTTAAGGACCAGGCGGGGCTTCTGGAGGCCAAAGGAAAGGACCAGCTGCTGGGCAGGAGGGCCTTTCCTGCCAGTAGCCTAGGGTGGCTTGGTTTTGAATTTCCGCTCTGCAGGCCACGTCCTGTACACAGCCTCTCAGCCAGCACGTCTGCACACGTGTGTGGTCATTGGGAATAGGAGTCACTATAACTGACCATCATTTTTGCATGTCTTTTCCATTGTTCCAATAGTAAAGCTTCAGGTGCTGGACCAGAGGTGCTTCAGGTGCTGATCCTGGCCTTGTGACCCTAGTGGGTTTAGCTGCACCCTCTAGATGACAATTGTCCCTAGCCAGTGGGGTCATAACCTGCCCTGGCAAAGATGTAAAGATGCAGTGGTTGCCTTTGTATGGGGTTCTATCTGGTCATTCCTGCAGTGCCCACTGAGCATCCTGCCCCCTCATGTGGGCATTCTGCTCTCTCTCTCTCTCTCTCTCTCTCTCTCTCTCTCTCTCTCTCGGTCTTCTTTTTTTTTGGTATTTTTTATTTTGAGACCAATTCTCATTAAGTTGCTGAAGGTCTCTCTAAGTTACTGAGGCTGGCCTCAAATTTGCAATTCTCCTGTCTCAGCATCCCGAGTCACTGGGATTACAGATGTATTACCACATCCAGCCCCTCTCCCCTTCTTGTTCCTTCTGGGATTTTCTGTCTTTCCTTGGCTGTCTCGTTCCACCATCTCTTTCAGTCTGTCTGTGTCTTTTTCCATCTGGCTATCTTTGACTGGTTGGTAATTTCTGTTTCCTACCTCTCTGGTTGTCTCTGTTTCTGTCTCCCTGTCTGAATGTCTGTCTACCTATTACATGTGATTTTTGTCTCTCTGTGTTTTTCTCTGTGTCTCTTTATCCATACCCATTTTTCTTCTAGTTCCCTGGGCTAGGCCTCTTGTCTGTCTGTCTGTCTGTCTGCCTAGATCAGTATGCATGGGTGCATATATTGAATGTGTGTGTGCTTTCTCTCCCTGATCTCTCCCAGTCTCTCTCTTCCCTCCCTCTGCCTCTCTCTGCTTCTTCCTGAAGTTGGATGTCACCCCTCCTCCAGGCTGACCTTGCCTTTAGCCCCCCATCATGGTCTCCAATGAGTCCTGAACTGCCCGTGGCCTGTGTTCCAGCTTTCTTTGGGGCCAGAAGTCCGGCTGTCCAAATATTTGGCCGCCTCCAGGGGATTCCGGGTCAGCAGGGAGGAAGATGAGTTGGCTGGCGCAGGGTCTCCCCTGCCCCTGGGGGGGCCACAGTCACGTGATGTCCTGTCCTTTGCCTCTGCTGGGCCTTTGGCTGCACGTCCCTCTCAGCAGGCTGGCAATGGAGGGGGAGAGGGAGGTGCTGCTGGCTCTAGACCAGTCTTTTTTTTTTTTTGAGACAGGGTCTTGCTCTGTTGCCCAGGCTGTGCTTAAACCCCTGTGCTCAAGCAGTCCTCCTGCCTCAGCCTCTCAAGAAGCTGGGACTACAAGTTTGTGCCACAACACCTGGCTTCTAGCCCAGTCTTGAGCCAAGAGGTTCTGGTTACAACCTCCAATTCAGGAAGCCTGAGCAAGAAGGGTCCAGGGCTGGGTAGGAGGCAAAGCCTATGCGGCTTTTAAGCATCTGTTGGATGTCTAGGAAATGTTCCCCACCAAAGGAAAGTCTACCTTCCGGTCCTGTTTGGGACTCTCAGATCCTCCTAGACACTTCCGGATGCCCAGATCACAGACACAGAGAGCCCTAATCCCAGAACCAGGGAGCTGGGAAATGAGGGTTTGGTGTGGTGACTCTATTAATGTTCTGGGCCATTAACCTTTCTCTGAATGTGCCCCCTCCTGTATATTACCCCCTCAGAACCAGCCCAGGGTTGGCTACTTTTTGTTATGTGTTGTTGACAATGAGGAGTGGCAGATGGGGGACTGGGATAAAATCTGGGGTTATGGCCTGGGGGAGGAAAAAGGGGGTGTTTTTGTACTCTCCCCTATTCTAACAGCATCCTACTTGCCCTAGCCCTAGACCTCTGACCTCAGCTCCCAGCAGCCCCTGGCTGTGCCTGGAGGATACACAATTCAAATATGTTGATTGCATCTAGTTTACCCACTGACTTATACTCTGCCCTAGAAAGGATTTTCTTTCCCTTGAAGCCTGGAGAAGCTGGTGGGCAGAGGGGTAGCTGGGGAGTGTGAGTGCCCTGTCTCAGCCAAGGAGGGGAATGGTAAGAATGGGCTGAGTTGGGACTGTGGACAGCCCTCACCCCGAACCTCACCCAGGGATAACCACAGCAGACCTCAAGCCACACTAGCTGCTTCTCCCCAGGTCCTCCTTGGACTGAGGTCAGGACTCTCTAGGTATTGGAAGCCTGGCCTATAGCAATATTATCAGTGGGGTCTATGCCTCCATCAGTGCATGTGGCCACAGGACCAAAGGAAGGGCAAGCAGATGTCTCCCTGTAGCCATCCCACCACTGCAGATGGACTTGTGTCCCTGAGCATTGGAAAGGAAAGCAGGATTCAGAGCATGGGGACTCCAAGGACCTTGATCCCAGGGCAAAGAGGTGTGCTTCCTGTAGTGGCTGACGAAAGCAGTCACCCCACAGTGGCCTGGATTCCTGGGCCTGAAAGTCTTTAATTAGCCAAACTCAACACCTGCAGAGGTGTGCCTGATGAATTCTCACTCTGTGATGCCCGCGTGGGCAGGTGTTACCTGCTACACCATCCTGTGGCTCCTGGGCCCCCTGGTCTTCCCTCCCAGTAGAGCAAATAGCTCCCAGAGCAGGAGCCCAGGCCATCAATTCTGTGCCCGTGACAGATGCCATTTTGATGACTTTCCCACAGTCATAATGATCTCCCTGCTGTAATGCTTGACTTTTATCTGGGTACCTATGGTCTGTTCTGGGGGCAAAGGCTTTAGGGAGGCTCCTCATTCTATCCTCAACTTTGGCCAAGCCTCATAGGAAACCTGGATGCCAGAGGTCATGGAAACCCTGTCTCAGGAATACTCTTTCTATGGCGACACAGTGAGGCTGGCCAGGCCACACCTTTGCCTCAGGTTTAGTCCAGGCTCTCACCCCAGTGGGTCAGGCTTCACTGCAGCTGTCCTTCAGGGGCTCCCCTCTGAGTTTTTCCTAACTCCCCAATGCAAAGGACTGTGGGAGGCACCAAGCCTGAGGGGTGAGAGCTTTCAAAGATGGGCTAGCAGCCTCAGGGAATGGCTAAGGTCCTGAGTGCCAGGCCAGAGCTGATCCCACTCTGGCCCCCTAGTCCTCAGGCCTGGCCTTGACCTATGTACAGACTTTGCCATGGCCTTTCAGGCTTGTCTGTAGCCACAACGACTTCATTCCACCCTCACTGCCTGCCCCACACCACAGAAGCTTTTCCCTTGCTCAGCCCTCTGTCTGAGGCCCTCTTTCCTATTCCACACCTCAGGGCCTCCTATTGGAATTTTAGGACTGGCTTCATCACCCTCCTTGATGACTCCTTTTACCCCACTCCCTTTTTCTTGTCTTTTTTGCTGTGCTGAGAATAGAACCCAGAACCTCACACATGCTAGGCTAGTACTGTATCATTGAGCTATGTCCCCAGGCCCTCTTTCCCCTTCTCTGAGTCCGAGTACGATGTGATTCATATTTGTAGCAGGAACTTTAGGGTAGTGTGGAGGGGTGGAATTTGTTTTATTGTTTTTTGCTCTTTTTCCCCTGCTTCCAGACTGGAGGTCACTTGAAGAGGGATATTTCATGTCCTTTCTGGAATCTCAGGCCAGCCTGAGACCCAGCAATGACTGGTTATGAGTGAATAATGACCACCAGACCCCAAAGGTTGAAGCCTCCATCCAGCAGGGGGATAGTGAACCCAGAGCCAGAACCTCATACACCTCCCAAGGCTCATGCCATGGATTGGGGTTTCCCTGGAGGCAGTGTCTGGCTGCTAGGTGTCCTGATGGGACACCTTAGCCAGTGTATAGTGCACCCCCTACACACACCAGCCCAGGCAAGCCTTCAGACCTTGGTTATTAAGACAGAGAAGGGTGCTTTGTGCCTGCTGCCGACTCAGCACACTCCAAGGGCCTGTCCTAGCTTGCCCAGGGCTGGGGGCCAGGCAAGGGCAACCCTGGCTTAGTACCAGGGGGAGCTCTGGAGGGACTCTGGAGACCCGTCACTGGCACCTGTGCATCCAGGTGGAATCCTTAGAGGGACTCTGATGGCAAGAGTTAGGCAGGGGCATGAGAACAGGCTGGCCTAGGGAACCCTGGTCTAGGGAAAGAGGGCTCAAGATGAGATATCAAGCCAGGTATAGTGGTACACAGCTGTAATGCTAGCTATTCAAGTGGCTGAGGCAGGACTGTAAGTTCATGGCCAGCCTGGGTATCTTAGTGGGACATGTCTTGAAATTTAAAAAATGGCTGGGGGGGGGGGTATCTCAGTGGTAAAGCACCTCTGGGTTCAATCTTCAAAAGATTGAACTGTACCAAAAAAAAGAGAGAAATTTTAACATTATGTCCTAGCTAAGTTGGCTGGGAGGGGAGGGATGCTCAGAGCTGGCAGCTGAGGAGGCAGAGGCATGTAGGATGCCAGGTACGGGATCTCCAGGGCTGAGATGACAGAGATCTGAACTCTGGTCGGGGGCAATGGAGAGGGGGTCCTCTAGTGGTAATGTGAGGCAGCTATCCCCATCTCCTCATTGTCCCCAGCACATAGTGTTGGTTTGAGTTCCCTGGTGCTCTAGACTCAAGAGCAGACCCAAGGGTCTGCAGTGGGAAATGGGGATTCAGGGCAGAACTTGGGGCTCCCAAGCAGAGGGGCACCATGGCCCCAGGACTAGTCTCTGGCCAACCTGCCAGGCAGAACCACCTTTCCTGATCTGCACTCTGGCTCAGTTCTCCTACTAGCCAGTCTGTGATGTCCTGACAGACCCTGGATTCAGATACGTTCTGGGCATGGGATAGGCAACTCCAGGCCCCACTGGTGGGAGAGGGGCCAGTAAGTTGTCTGGGCAGTGTGCAGGGGGAGCGGAGGGAAGCTAGATCCTAGAATCCAGCTAGGCCAGGCCCTGAGAACAGAGAAAAGGACACTGACCTGGTGATCTAGGCTCCTCTTCAGGTGGCCGAGCCCCTGAGCGCTGTCCAGGAACTCAGGGAATGAGGGTTCTGCTTGGAGGTGTGATCCTGGATAATGGGCGCATGAGCACTGGGGCCTCCCTGGAGGAGAGGAGAGGCTACAAGGAGAACATGGTCCTGGGGCCAGGACTGTGTGGAAGATGAAGACCATGAGGCCCAGAGAACTGAGCCATGGAACACCCATTTCCTGGAAGGTCCCCTGAGGGCCTTTCGCCATAGCCAGGCAGGAAGGGCCCAGGTGTCCAGTCACCCAGCACTGCCTCAGGCCTCCTGGCTCTGGGAGGGCGGGCAGCCTCTGCGCCTGCTGTTCCCAGCGCCAGCTCTCAGCCCACAGAGGGCCCTTTGTTTTGGCTGCCAGCAGTGCCCGCCTGGCGGCTGGGAACAGGGCCCACAGCCCTCACCCTCTCCCGAGGCCTCTAGCTGTTGGGCAGTGCCATTCTATATTGGTCGAATGCCCCTGGCACACAGGGCCAGTGCATAAAACTGTCTCCCAGGACTAGTGTGGAAGGAGGAAGTCCATCCAGGGTGCAAACCCAGAGTAGAGTCTAGGAGCCTAGGACTCAGCATCCAGGGGCCCTGGTGCCATTGGGCTCAGAATTGGGTCATCCAGATGACCCTCACTTCACAGATGGGGAAACTGAGGCCCAAAAGGCTTGACTAGGCTGGAATATGTAGGGGAGTTGTGCTGGCAGAGGTGTCCTATTAGGATATACTCAGGTGTCCAAGCTGTGCCCTCTACAAAGGCAGATCACAGAGAGACAGCAGGCAAGTTGCGTGTGTGCGTGTGTGTGTGTGTGTGTGTGTGTGTGTGTGTGTGTGTCCTGAGTGACCTTTTGGGTGGGTGCTATGGTTTCTGGCCTCATTTGAGGAACTGGGCAGTGGGCCACAGAGTGGGGATAACCAGAGGGACTGGCTGCTCCACAGACAGCCTGATTGTTGGTGTGAGAACTATACTCCCAGTGGTGGTCCCTGAGCCATGGAGGTGCCTCTGCAGACAGAGATGGTGGAGCTGGTGCCCAATGGCAAACACTTGGAGGGGCTGCTCCCAGTCAGCACACCCACAGCAGGCAACCAGAGGTATGTAGACAACCAGAGGTATGTCCCAGTGGTGGCCGGGACAGTGCAGGGCAGGGGTACAGGGTACAACACTGGAACTGAGCTGCCTTCCCTGGCCTGTGTCTGCAGAGCTGAGGACTCTAGACAGAGCTGTGTGGAAAGTAAGGGCTTCCTACAGAAAAGCCCCAGCAAGGAGCCACACTTCACCGATGTAAGCCGGCTAGCCTAAGGGGCTTGGGGGCGCTGTGGGGAGCTTGGTTGCAGTAATACATGCTCATTGATGATGATGGGAGGCTCAGTGACAGCAAGAGGGAATGACATAATGCCCTAATCTTGCTGCCATTTCACCACCCCATTCTGGTGCCTGCAGTTTGAGGGGAAGACGTCGTTTGGGATGTCAGTGTTCAACCTCAGCAATGCCATCATGGGCAGTGGCATCCTGGGACTCGCCTATGCCATGGCCAATACAGGCATCATCCTTTTCCTGTGAGTGCCTTCAGCAAAACTTGTATAGACGGGGAGCCCTGAATAAGCCACCACCATGACCTCCCAGGACCCACTAGTTCCCTGTTCAGTGGGTGGGGACCTTTTACTCTAAACCCAAACCACGTCTGCGAAAACATCCACAGCCAGACAAATATACTTCACAGCCCAGAAAACCCACTGAGGCCATGACACAGAGCCGGCTTTACAGGCCCAAGTCTGTTCTTCTACCATGTTTACATGTGATGGTCAAACCCTGTGGCCAGGACCTGTGTGGCACACATGTCCTTGGTCTGGGGGATCTGCCCTGAAGCCTGAATGAAAAACATGTTTATCCCAAGAACTCCTTAGTCATAGGTTGCTCTTGACCCACAGGGACCCTTCTGGGTTATGTCCCATGTTCAGTCAAACAAAATGGTATTCACACCTCCAGGCATGCAGAGCCTGCATCTACATCCAGTCAGGGGTCCAGATGATAGACCTCCCCAGGCTTCCTAGAGACCCTTACCCCCTAGCAGCCAGGGGAGTCCCTAGTGGCTTCTTTTTCTCCGTTTTCCCCAGGTTCCTATTGACGGCCGTGGCCCTCCTCTCTAGCTATTCCATCCACCTGCTTCTCAAATCCTCAGGAATTGTGGGTGAGCCTCCCACCAGCCTGCAGAAGGGTGGAGTTGGAGCAGACTGGTATGAGCTACCCTGGCTGTCCTGATCCCCTGTTCCTACAGGCATCCGCGCCTATGAGCAGCTGGGCTACCGTGCCTTTGGAACTCCTGGAAAGCTGGCAGCAGCCCTAGCCATCACACTGCAGAACATTGGAGGTAAAGCCAGTGGGCAGGTGGCAGGCAATTAGTGATGTACAGGGCTGAGGGCTGGCTGTTTGGGCTGACCCCAGCACCTTCTTCCCCTCTCCCTAGCCATGTCCAGCTATCTGTACATCATCAAATCTGAGCTGCCTCTTGTCATACAGACATTCTTGAACCTGGAGGAGAAGACCTCGTGAGCCCTGGGGGTGGGGGTGAGGGTGGGAGGTCTTAGTCCCCCTCCCTGTGTCCACTGGCCCTGGGGGGCCCAGGCTGGGTTTTTGGGGAAGATGAGAGTGTGGACATGGGCCTGAGGGAAAAAAAAAGAAAGCTGCCAGCAGAGCCAGCACTTAGCTCCCACTTGTTTATGGACCACCTAAGTGAACCCTCCCCAGGTGGGGACACCTGGGGCTGGGACCAAGGTGAGACTGGGGAAGCTGGGCTTGCCTGGGCTTGGACCCCTCCTGTGAGCATGAGAGCCTCAGGCTTATCTCTAAGCACCTACTATTCCTGACCATGGGGTCAGCCCCGCCTCTCCTCCCACCAAGAGATTAAGCCTGGGTTGTCCTGGTTGCCCATTACTTTAGCCAGCACTGACTAGGTATCAGCTTTGTCTAGTGGATAGGAATCAGAGAGAAGGTGACCAGCTCTGCTCTTGCAGCCCAGCCCAAGCAAGTAAAGGGGCTATGAGCGTGAGTGAAGCTCTGGGAGGCAGGAAGAGTCAGGATACTGCCTCCAAGACCCCACCACCTTTCCCAAGGAGTTGGCCTTTGGGTTTGTCCTAGAAAGATGGTCCTGGCCCTTATCCCCTTACCTCCCTGAACCTCATGTCAATTTCTAGGAGGTTGAAGGGGTGGGGTGATGCAAGATGCAGATGCCAGGAGGAACCACAGGGTCATAAGCAAGTCCCTGAGGCCCCCATGGAAAACATCACCTCCCAGAGGAAGGTCCCTCATCTCACTCATCTCCCTCAGGAGGGCTCAGCCCAGACCTGTGTGTGCTATGAAAACACCAGCAGGAACTGCAATAGTAAGCACAAACCATGTGCTAGGCTAGCACATTTGTCCTCACATCACATAGAAGGAGAGTGTGAGAGTGTGCCCATTTTGTAATTCAGAACAAGGAGACTCAGCTATAATCAAAGATTTTCAGAGGTTATTCAGTAGCTCTGCTGGTGTCCCTAACTGGGGGAGGCAGGTGGCCCCACCCCAGGCCAAGTAGTGGACTTTGACCCTGGCACCCCATTCCCATCCCTACAGGATCTGGTACATGAATGGGAACTACCTGGTGATCCTGGTGTCCGTCACTGTCATTCTGCCCTTGGCACTGATGCGGCAGCTTGGTGGGTGTGGCAGGGTCAGGCCTTGGAGGGGATGTTGGAGGGATGTACAGAAGGGATCCCAATCTCACAGTCCTCTTGGAGGGGATGTTGGAGGGACACATGAGGGAGCTCCACTCTCACAGCCATCTTTCCCCTTTTGCAGGCTATTTGGGCTATTCCAGTGGCTTCTCTCTCAGCTGCATGGTGTTCTTCCTAATTGCTGTGAGTCACCCTCCATGTTGGTCAAGAAAGGGGTAGGTCACCCAGGGGAGTCCTCTGTCAAAGAGAAGGTACAGATGTTTGCGGGATGCCTGGATCAGAAAGTAGCCTTTCCAGGCCGGGCGTGGTGGCACATGCCTGTAATCCCAGTGGCTCGCAAGTTCAAAGCCAGCCTCAGCAATTCAGCAAGGTGCTAAGCAACTCAGTGAGACCCTGTGTCTAATAAAATACAAAATAGGTCTGGGGATGTGGCTCAGTGGTCTAATGCCCCTGAGTTCAATCCCTGGTACCAAAAAAAAAAAAAAAAAAAAGTAGCTCCTCCAGTTTGTGATCTAGATATGGCTTCATGGTAACCTCACAGGCAGCCCAGCCTGGCTCTGAAACCCTCATCCTTTCCCACCTAAGGTCATCTACAAAAAGTTCCAAGTGCCCTGTCCCCTGCCTCTCAACTTAGCCAACGTCACTGGCAACTTCAGCCACACAGAAATCCTTGAGGAGAAAGTGCAGCTGCAAGGAGAACCTGAGGCTGCTGCCCTCTGTACCCCGAGCTACTTCACACTCAACTCACAGGTTCCAACAGGCCATGGTAGGGATGGTGGGGCCTGGTGGCAAGGAGCTGGCTTGACACAACCCCATATGTCCCCAGACAGCATATACCATACCCATCATGGCCTTCGCCTTCGTCTGCCACCCTGAGGTGCTGCCCATCTACACAGAGCTCAAAGAGTACGTGTCTGTGGATGGAAGAGGGATTGGGGCTGCCTTGAGCTGGTTTGGGGAGAATGGATGGGACCAGGGTGGGAGGGGGCAGGGAGGGTAACACAATCCAAGTTACCTGGCCAGAGATATCCATGGCTGCTATGAAGACATTAAGGGCAAGAAGGAGACTCCCTTCTTCTGTCAAATAGTGAGGATGTGGTACTAAAGTGACTGGCACATGGAGTTCTCCAGATGTGGCCCAACTTGTCACTAAGCTCTCTTCTTCACTGCCTCATAGCCCCTCCAAGAGAAAGATGCAACATATCTCCAACCTGTCCATTGCCGTCATGTACGTCATGTACTTCTTGGCTGCTCTCTTCGGCTACCTCACCTTCTACGGTATGACTGGACCAGTGGGGACTAGGGCAGAGGCCAGGTTGGGTGACAGGGGCTGGTCAGCAGCCATGGTGCCCTGCATACTATAGGTGCTCATTAGGTGCATGATACCTGCCTATGCCCTGCAGCTGTGGAGGTGAGTCTGAGTGCCACTCCCCAAAGTGTCAGGGTCCACCAGGCAGCTCAGAGTCCAACACCCCTGGCCTGCTGACCACCTTCCCTGCTCGCCACAGACGGGGTGGAGTCAGAGTTGCTGCACACCTACAGCAAGGTGGACCCATTTGATGTTCTGATCCTGTGTGTACGCGTGGCCGTGCTGACAGCTGTCACACTCACAGTGCCGATTGTTCTGTTCCCGGTGAGCCAGTGGATAGGTGGCTGCGCCAATGGGGAATGGGGCTGATGAGGCAGACAGGCTGATGGCTCTTCTAACCTGCCCCCAGGTGCGCCGTGCCATCCAGCAGATGCTATTTCAGAATCAGGAGTTCAGCTGGCTGCGGCATGTGCTCATTGCCACTGGTCTGCTCACGTGTATCAACCTGCTGGTTATCTTTGCCCCCAACATCCTGGGCATCTTTGGGATCATCGGTGAGAATTTGTCCTGCTGTGGAAGTGGGGGTATTGCCTCACTTCTGCAAATCCTGGGTGATTTTTTTCTTTCTTTTTTTTTTTTTTTTTTTTTGATGGTGCATCTGAGCTTCTGTCCTTAAGGCTATTGTAGGCTCTTTTGAAGCCTGAGAACTACTGAGTCAATCCTTCTTGCTAGGGGGGCAGAGGTGGACTTCAGTGTCAAGGGACTCCACAGAGGATCTCACTAGGCTAGGCATGGTAGCACACACCTGTAATCCTATCTCTTTGGGAGACTGAGGCAAGAGGACTATTTGAGCCCATCTGAGACCAGCCTGGCAACATAATGAGACCCTTTCTGAAAAGAAAGAAAAGCAGGCCGAGTGCAGTGGCACACGCCTGTAATCCCAGCTGCTCAGAGGCTGAGACAGGAGGATCTCAAGTTCAAAGTCAGCCTCAGCAAAAGTGAGGTGCTAAGCAACTCAGTGAGAACTTCTCTCTAAATGAAATACAAAATGGGGCTGGGGATGTGGCTCAGTGATCAAGTGCCCCTTAGTTCAATCTCAGGCACACAAAAAAAAAAAAAAACTGAAAGAAAAGCAAAAGGACCTCATTGGTTCTTGTGCCTATTATAAACAAGGAAACTGAAGTCCACACTGATTAAAGAAGCAGCAGGGCGATACAGCTAGTGAGTAGAGAGCCTTGATTCAGTCCTAGGATTACCAAGCTGTAGGCTTGATGCTCTGTCCACTGTTCCATCACAGGTGGGGTTCTGAGCTAGAAGATCAGACAATTCTGATACGTGTTTGGGGTGACCCAACTCAGAATACTGACTCCCTGTGACTCCTTGACCCAACTCTGTGAGGTCTGATACAGTCTTGGTGCTGAGTATTATGAATATCAAGGACAAGATATTGCTTTTATGGGTTGAAAAATCTAGCTCAAAATGAAGTAAGCAGGAAGAAATCACTGGGCCTACAGATGTAGCTCAGTGGTAGAGTACTCAACCAGCAAGCACAAGGCCCTGGTTCAATCCCCAGTACCACCAAAAAAATTTATATATATATAGATAGATAGATAGATAGATAGGTAGATAGATAGATATAGATATAGATATATATATAGATAGATAGATAGATATGGATATATATATATATATATATATATATATATAGAGAGAGAGAGAGAGAGAGAGAGAGAGAGAGGATGAGAATAGATTTATTTTGGCTCACAGTTTTAGAAGTTCCATTTCATGATTTTTGGTCCCATTGCTTTGGTCCTGTAGCAAGGTACCACATTATTGCAGGAGCTAACCACATACCTCAAGCTCAGGAAATAAAAGGGAAAGAAGAAGAGATCAGGATCCCATAATCCCATCCAAGGGCACACTCCCAATGGCCTAAGATCCCCCCACCTCCTAACATTTCCACCACCTCCCAACAGCCACCCTGGGCCCCAAGGTGTCCTAGCACTTGACCCCTCCAGATCCCTTCAGAGTCTCCCAATACTTGAACCTTTGGAGAACATTCAGGATCCAAACTATAGAAAGTTATACCCAGGAGCCAGTATCCTTAAGGCTTCATTGCTCCAACATAACTTCCTTTTTTCATTGCCAACTTTGTTCATTGATTTCCTTCTGACACCAACAGCACCAGCCTTCCATTCTGATAGGTGGAGATCAAAGGCAGAGGTTGGTGGGCTCCCCGGAATCAGGCAGCCCTCTCAAGTAGAGTGAGAATGTTTGATCTCATTGAAGCATCTACCCCTGAACCTTGGCCAGTAAGTGAACAAGAGTCATCAGGGACCATGCTTTGTTCTTTTCAGGTGCCACATCTGCCCCGTGCCTCATTTTCATCTTTCCTGCCATCTTCTACTTCCGAATCATGCCCACTGAGAAGGAGCCTGCAAGATCCACCCCCAAAATTCTGGTGCGAGGGACCTGGAGGCCGGTGGGTTGGTGTGGGACTGAGGAGGCGGCCCTGAACCTTTATACCTGATCTTCAGTTCTGATCCTATAGGCCCTTTGCTTTGCTGTTCTTGGCCTCTTGCTGATGACCATGAGCTTGAGCTTCATCATCATTGACTGGGTCTCAGGAACCAGCCAGCATGGAGGAAACCACTAGGATGACCCCAGACCGTTTCGTTTAATTGTCCTAGTGCCCCTGCCTAGACTCTCCAGCCCCTGCTTCCATCCAGTGGCTAATCAGGGGGAGAAAGATAGGGGAGACAGGCATGGAAAATACTATAGCATCTGGCCCCGCCCATGTCCTCTCCATGGAAGGTTTTTGTTAAAGAACCAGGACCAAGGCCCTGGGGCCCTCCCTGCAGGGCTCCCAAGCTTTAGAGGCTTCCTGAGCTGTGAACAGGGTGGGGTTATTGCTTCAGATCCCACTCAAATCCCTCATCTCCCTGGCAGAGGTGCGTATGCTGGGGCCCAACAACTGCTTCCTGAGGTCACAGCCTAGGGGCACACAGAGCTAGAACCCAGGCCTGCAGTCATTCTTCCACTCTGCTGCAAGGTTAGGGTCTGCACCCAAGGCCTCATCTCCGCCATCCCACTTGCTTTCACTCCCTCTATCCCTTTGGTCCCTTTTGGACACTTGGGCTCAGGCCCTTGAATACTCTTATCCTCTTTTCCCATCCCTTCCATGAGAGTAGACCCCATCCATAGCTGGGGCCACAAGGTTATGCTAAGGATAGGGCTGGCATGGGTCCCCCCAAGGAACCCTAGCCTTGTCCCTTCACCAGTCCTGGGGAGGCTGGGACTCCCCCACCCCAAGCCTGGATCATAGCTCACATTCCACTGCTGGGAGAAGAGGGACCAAGCCTAGAGTGTCCTGCTCCTGGGAGCCAAAGACCCCAAGGGCCAGAATGGGATAGGGCTGGGAAGGACTGGCAGCCCCCTTTTATAAATATACATAAGACCAGCTGTGTTTTATATTCTTGGTTTCTATAGTCCCTGGGTTCCTAGAAAGTGGGATAGGGTCAGGACACGGATAGTGATGGAGAGCCCCCTGTCTCCTCGCCTGGATGAGGGTGGAGACAGGGCAAGACCCCCACACATCCCTTCTCCTGCCTCCCAGTACAACTAATGGCATGCTCAGATCCAGCTCTGGGTCTGGGCCAAGCTCAACACAGACCTGCTTTCTCACGGGGTGAGGTGGGGAGGAATTAATGAGGCCCCAGGAAGTGGGACAGAGAGAGGCCTCCGGAAGGAGGCAACGTGAGGTGCATCCCCAGCAGCTTCGCAGAGGGTCTGAGTTGGGGGCAGCTGAGCCCTGAAGAAGCACCAGGAAGGGCCTCTTGCCCTCCCCTGGCTCCGAGGCTTCCAGGTTAACCCTCTGTCAATGCCTTGAGTCTAGGGACAAAAGTCCAGGGATCCTATGCCCCATTGGGCTGATCTTTTTATTAACAGTAAAATCAACTGTGAATAAAGGTGGGTTAGTGAGTTCCTATGTGTGGGGCCCTGAGTGGCAGTGGGGGAGGGGGTGGCAGTCCAAGGCAGGGCAGGGGCTGCAAGGAGGCCCCAGGTGTCCTGGCCCAGTGGCACTGGGAAGCTGCCCATCGCCTTAGGCAAGCCTAAACCAGCTGCAACACAGCAGGATGGAGCTGTCCAGGCCTTGGCATCAAACCCTCATTAGGAGAGACCCTGCACCATGCTAGGCCACCAGAGAAAGGACAGCAGGAAAAATCTAGTTTGAACTAGCAAGGCAGCTGCCAGCTTGGGAAACTCCTGAAAAAAAGAACTTCCTCAAGCTGGTGGCTGCTTGGCCCATAGCAGTGCCAGCTGGGTAGAGGGGGGCTTCCTGAATCCCATTCCCACCATCTCCAGGCACCTGACTCCAGCCTGGAAACTCACCCAGAAGACCTGTGGCCACAGGAAAGAGCTGAACACTAGTCTAGAGGTGGATGGAGCCCAGGGTGCCCTGTCATGAGGGCCTAGCCTCTGGATTTCTCAGGCCTGTTCTCCATCAGATGGGGCCAGAGCACTGTCTGGAACCCTTGGCTGCTGGGGAGTCAGGGGCAACAAGAGGCAGAGTCTGTCCTGCTAATAGGCCCAGGGGATCTTTTCACATACTTCTTCCATCCAAAGAGGGCTGTAGGATAGAGCAGCATCAAAACACCAGGCTGGTGGGATTTGCTAACAGTAGCTACCCACTCCCCAGCACATATAGTACTGGATTGAGAGGGACCCTGGCCTCCAAAGGCCTCTTCTAGCCTGATCAGGGGACAACAGCTCCAGCAAAGAGAGGACAGGTGATGTAACCACTGCACTAGATTCCAAAGCCATGTGCCCATAGACTATGTGAAATTGAGTATCCCTTGTCTCTGGCTGTCAAATTCTAGCCATTCAGCCTCCATGAGGACGGGTTTTCAGGCCCTTGGGCCTTATTAAGCATTTTCAAATGTTTTGAAGAATTTCCCAGTTTTTTCCTCCCATTTATACTTTAAAAAATTTGTTCTAAGCCTGGGGATGTAGCCCAGGAGTAGAATACTTGCATAGCATGCATGAGATCCTAGGTTCCATCTCCAGCACTGCAAATAAAACATTGTTCTGAAAGAATTTTTTCCTTGCTCTTTTTGGAATATTAAGAAGGTAGATGGGCTGGGATTGTGGCTCAGTGGCAGAGCGCTTGCCTCACACATGTGAGGCATTGGGTTCAATCCTCAGCACCACATAAAAAAATAAAGGTATCGTGTCCATCTACAACTAAAAAAGAATATTAAAAAAAAAAGAAGGCAAGGTAGCCAGAAAGTCCAATATAGACATCATCTCTACTTATTTTCACTGTTTTTCTTGTGATTGTTACAGAAAAATAAGATATACAGACTAGGAAAAGGGACAAAAGCATATTGATTTCCCTGCCCAGCCACTGTCCTTGCCCAAACAATCCTCACCCATGTTTACATGCACACAGTCACCTATCAAATGAAAAGGGATGCATTAATTAAGTCACTCAGTCTACAACTATTTGTTTATTTTTTCTGCAGTGCTAGGGATTGAACACAGGGCCTCATGCATGCTAGTCAAGCATTCTACCACAGAGATACACCTCCAGCCTTTTAAGAGGTGCTAGCTTCAATTCCTAATTGAACCAAGGACCTTGCACATAACAAGGCACACACACTACAACTTAGCTATTACCCCAGAAATTATGTGTTTATTGAGACTTCCTATGTGCCAGGCATTCTTCCAGCACCTGCCAAGTACAGCAGTGAATGAAGGGAAGACCCCCGCCTTCCTTTAACATCCACTCTAGGTTAAGAACTGGATTCAGAACAGAAATATTAAACAAACCACTAGCTTAAATCACTTCTTAGAAGATGCTCAGTGTTATGGGGAATAAAATATCAAGGTAAGGGCAATAGAAAACAAGGGATCAGGAAGTAGATCAGGGTGACCCTCACTAAAGAGGCCATCAGAGATTTGAAGAAAGAAGAAGCTATGCGAACATCTTTGGAGGAAAGTTCTAGTCAGTGGGATCAGCCAGTGCAAAGCTCTGAGACAGAATGTGCCTGACATCTGAAAACAGCCAGGAGGCCATTGGGGCTGGGGCTGGGTAAGGCAAGAGATGGTTACAGGGTTGGTTGGAGGCTCATGAGAGGGCCAAATGTTGTGGAGCCCTGTCATGCCACCATAAGAATTTTGGAGGGGGCGAGGGTGGTGGTACATACCTGAAGTCACAGTTACTCTAGAGGCTGTGGCAGAAGAATTGCAAATTTGAGGCCAACTTAGGCAATTCAGCAAGACTCTGTCTCAAAATAAAAGTAAATTAATATGTAAAAAGGGGCTTGGGGTATAGAAGAGTGTCCTGGTTTAATTCCCAGTATCATTTAAAAAAAAAGAAAAAGAAAAAGAAAGAAGGAAAAGAGCTTTGGATCCCATGGTGGCACAGGTCTGTAATTCCAGTTACTTAGCAGGCTGAGGCACATTTGAGGCCAACATGAGCAAATTAGTGAGTCCTTATCTCAAAATAAAAACAATAAAAAGTACTGGGAGCCAGGTGTGGTAGTGTATGCCTGTAATCCCAGCAACTCAGGAGGCTGATGCAGGAGAATAACGAGCTCAAAGCCAGCCTCAGCAACTTAGCAAGGTCCTAAGCAACTTAGGGAGACCCTGTCTCAAAATAAAAATAAACAAATAAATAAAAAGGACTTGGGATGGGATATAGCTCAGCCCTTGGTGCAATCCCCAATATAAAAAAAAATAGTAAGTAGAACTTTGGATTTGTATTTGGGTAAGATCAGAATCAATATTGGGTTCTAAACAGAATAGGGGGCAGGGAGGCAGGATCTGATTCAGTATGACTCTAAGCTTTGTATGGATTATGCTAGCTACTACACTGAAACTAAACTCTGGATAGGGTGGGGGGCAAGAGTTACACTGACATTAGGACTACTGCAATTATTCCAATCATGTCAGGCAGCTTAGCTCAGGTAGTGGCAGAGTTGGTGTAAGGTATTTTGTCTGGAAGATAAAGGTGGCAGGGTTGTATTATGGACTGGATATGGGGAGAGAGGATGAATCAGGGTGACTCCAAGTTTGTCTAGGGATAGAGCTGCGCCACTTCAGGAGGCTAGGGTGGGAACAGGCTTGGAACGGATATCAGCATGACGGTGAGGAGTTGAAAGTACTGACCATACATCAAAGTATAGTCACATCAGTTACTGGTGTGTGCTGCAAGCTCAGTATTGGCTGGCAGTGGAGCTTTGGGTCTGAGAGGCAAAGTTAGTGGTACTTCAAGCCATGGGCCTGGACAAAATGGGAGGACGTTTAGACAGAGAAAGGCAACAGTTCACACTGAGCCCTGAAGAAATAAGATAGAACCAGCAAGGATCTGTGTAGGAAAAGCCAGCAGGTAGGAGGAAAACTAGAAAGTGTGGGTACTTAGAGTCAGGCAAATATCAGATGCTGGGAATCACTGAGAAAGGTTTCAGGTGGGAGCATCAGATTCAGGACCCTGTGGTAACTAAGGATCCTGTCCAAGGCAGTTTTGTGGAAGGAGAGGCAAACATGACTGGGTTGGGTAGAGGAAAAAATGAGAGACAATCAGAAAGAGCTAATATAGACAACTTATATGAAGTTAAAGGGGCAGAGCCAAAAGTGGCTTTTAAGAAAGAT